GGGGAGGGGGAGGAGTCGGGGGTGGGGTGGAGTCAGGAGGGATGGGGGAGGGGCCAAGAGAGAGGTGGAGGGGGAGCAGTCCGGGGTGGGGAGGAGTCAGGAGGGATGGGGAGGGACCAAGAGAGAGAGGGGGAGGGGGAGGAGTCGGGGGTGGGGTGGAGTCAGGAGGGATGGGGAGGGGCCGAGGGGGAGGAGTCAGGGGTGGGGTGGAGTCAGGAGGGATGGGGGAGGGGCCAATAGAGAGGGGGAGGGGGAGCAGTCAGGGGTGGGGAGGAGTCAGGAGGGATGGGGAGGGGCAGGAGAAGGGGTTAGATGGGGAGGAGAGGAATGGGGGAGGAGGGAGTAGACATTAGGATCGATGGAGTCAGGGTCATGGGTGGTGGAGGAGGAGGAGGAGAGGGTTGGGGATGGTGGTTGGGGTCATGAGGAAGGGCAGAGTTAAGGGCAGGATGAGAATTGGTCCCCTGAGGCCAGCAGCTGCCTGTGCTACACACTGTTCCTAGGCATGGGCTGGTTAATAGCCTTGTAAGGCTCTGCCTTAAGCCCGGGGACCCTAGCTCAGGCTCTAACTCCTTCCTTACCGGACTTCGTGGTGCTTAGCTATTGCTTACGCGAGGTGCTAGACTGGTGGTGGTTAGAGTTGCCAGGTGCCCGGTTTTCTGAAGTTCAGTTACTGTGAGGTGGGGGGAGGTGCCTGGTCATTAACCCAGCCCCTGCTCAGCTGGGGGCTGCCTCCTACCTGCCCACAGGCTCCTTGTTAGCCTGCAGCAGCTCCTGTCCCAGCCCTGGAACAGCAGAGGGAACCCAGTTGGGGGCGGGGAAGGTGGAGTGGATCCAGCCAGCAAGGAAGGGAGAGGCGTGTGCGACGGGGTGGACCCTTGGGGGAAGAGGCGGAAAAGGGAGTGGAGCCTAGGGAAGAGGTGGAGAAGGGGGCGGGAACTCAAGGGAAGAGGTGGAGCAGGGGTGGGGCCTTAGGGGAAAAAGGTGGGGCAGGGCCCATTACCAGCAATTAGAAAGGTGGCAACCCTATTTGGATTGCAATACCCAGATGCAGCTAATGCTGGAGTGGAAACCCTGTAGCACTGCATGTGCCTTTGGGGAGTTAGAGGTGGAGCTTTTCTGATGGTGCTGGGTCACCCAGAGAGGCACTGTGAATGGCCTTTAGCTTATTTTCATAACACGTGGAACGGCAAGCTTGGATAATTTGAGTGGCCTCCCTCTCCATTCATGGTAGGCATTGGGGAGGCAGTGTGGCCTAGTGGATAGATCACTAGACTAGGGCTCAGGAGATGTGCGTTCTATTCCTGGCTTTGCCATTGCCCTGCTGGGTGACCTTGGGTATTTTGCTTATTATTATTACTCATGTTTATTATGGTAGTGCCTACGGGCCAACGAAGATGGGCCTCTGTTGTGCTGGGTGCTGTACAAATACAATAATAGACAGTCCTTGCCCTGGAGAACTTACCATATCTTATTTTTTGAGTGGATTTGCTTCCCCCTCTGTGCCTCGGTTTCCCCCTCTGTAATATGGGGATAATGATACTGACCTTCTTTGGAAAGTGCTTTGAGATCTGTGGAAGAAAAGAGCTGTATAAAAGCTAGGGATTATTGTTGGAGAAGGCTGCGGTTGAGGCATGCTGATGGGATGACCTGGGGAAACTTGCCTTGCCACTATTTGGCCCTTACATACTGCAGGATAAATATAGGACCTCCATGTCCAGGGCTGTCCCTTGGACACTTATTCACAGGCTAATGTGAGCGAGAGAGCTCAGGTTTCTAATATCTCCAGCTTGAAAGCAGAGTTCTTCCTAAGGCAGTGCCCGAACACAGTTGGGCACCCTGGGCTCACATGCGGACGGAGGGTTGTGGCTGCTTTGTCCTGCTTACGTGGTTTGACTTGATTCCTCAGATGTCCAACTGGATTGAAACTCCTTCTTTGTCTCCCCCTAGGAAACCTGACATCCCCGTCCCGTATCTGTACTTGGACATGGGGGCAGCGGTGTTGTGTGCCAGCTTCATGTCCTTCGGGGTGAAGCGCAGGTGGTTTGCACTGGGAGCTGCTCTTCAGCTGGCAGTCAGCACGTACGCGGCGTATATCGGGGGCTATGTGCACTACGGTGACTGGTTGAAGGTGAGGGGTTCATCGGAATTCCCTGGGTGGCTGATGGGCTAGGGGGCAGCTGCTTCATCTGTTCCCATGCCAGCCTCGCTTAGTAACCCTGGACTGTTTGGCCTATCCAAAATGAGTGTAGATCTCAGTCCAGGCCCCCTGGCACTAACATCCAAGTGAAGCTAGTATCCTCATTGAGCCTCCTTGTTCGCTCTTTCAGCAGAGAGGGCAAGGAATTAAGAGGCCATAGAGACTGAATCGCTCCCTCACTCCTTGAGATCAGGACGATGTAAGGGGAAACTTGCCCTGCTAATCCCTGGGTTGCATCTGCTTTGTGAATAGAAGAAGGCTTCAGTCTCCATGTTAGTATTTCAGTGAGAGCAAGAATTATCCCCATCGCCCTTTCCTTCCTCTTCTCTTCCCCCTCCACCTCCGCCCCCATTTTGATCCTGCTAGTCCGCTATCTCATGGCCAAAGCAGCTGCTTCAGCGAGATTGCATCGCGCACCTAGCTACAAGCCTACACACTTTCTTCCTGACCTCCGCTGATGATCAGCTTGTGCCCTGAAACGTGAAGATGAGAGGTCTGTCTCCAGTGTAATGCCCCTGCAGCTGTTGTTTTCATGTATCTAAATGCCTCGTGCTTTTATTTCTTTTAAGTTTATGGGGCTCCTTTTTATTTCCCAGTCCCTAACTGACGTACACACTGTGTGATTCCCCCTGCAGGTGAGGATGTACTCACGAACCATAGCTATCATTGGTGGGTTCCTGATCTTGGCGAGTGGGGCTGGTGAGATCTATCGTCAGAAGCCACGGAGCAGGTCCCTGCAGTCCACCGGGCAGGTCTTCCTCGGCATCTACCTCATCTGCGTGGTATGTACCCAGTGGGGCAGGAGCAGGCTGGTGCCATGGTGGACTTCCATGCACAGCTCTGCCATTGCTAGCCAGCGTGCGTTGGCTTGCAGTGAAATCACCAGAGCACGGGGGACTAAGCGGGGTGATCAGAAAGAAACTGGGATTCAGCACTTTGTCATGTGGCTGTGGCCGCAATTGGGAAAGTGTGGGTGTTGGAGCAGCTTGTATCACAGCTGGCGGGAGATCAGACAAGGGGGGATTCTCTGTGGGGCACAGGTGGCCACTTAGGGTGCCCCTTGGACTAAAAGGGGTTGTTGCCAGAGATACACCCCAGCTGCCATGGTTACTGGCCAGCCCTGACCTGCTTACTCTGTCTGAAGGTGCCTTTGGGTATCACATTGGTTCTAGAATTCTTTGCACCTCCTTTGGACACCCCTGCAGCCTACTGCAAAGGATTCTGGGGTGTTTAGAAAGCCATAGCACTATTTGCATATGACTGGACAGAAATAGAGGCAGTGGATTGGATCGGTGGGAGGAGCATCAGCTTCCATGATCCCCTAAGAACAGCCCTGCAGGGTGGAGGAGGCAGAGAAATGGAGATAGTATTTTGGCACCAGTTATACCCTTAGTCTTTGTGGCTATTATGTGATTGAGTAGCAGGCACTGTTCCTTCCTGCTGAGGCTGTATTAAATCAGAACCCCCAGTATGACAGCAGGGGGCACTGTGCCACTGGTGGCACTGCCTTTCAGAGGGGATGTAAAACTGGCATCCTGATCCCATGGTGCTTCGTGCAAAAGTCAGCTATTAACCTTAGTCTCCTGGCCAAATTCCAGCCTGATGATTAAACTATAATGAGATCCAACGGCTAGAAGTTGACGCTAGATACATTCAGACTAGTAATAAACTGGCAAATCTCGAGTAGGAGTTGAGAGGTTATTTTACCTCGGTATTTGGCACTGGTGTGACCGCTGCTGGAATACTGTGTCCAGTTCTGGTGCCCACAATTCCAGAAGGAGGTTGATAAATTGGAGCGGGGTCAGAGAAGAGCCAGGAGAATGATTAAAGGGTTAGAAAACCTGCCTTATGGTGAGAGACTCAAGGAGCTCAGTCTATTTAGCTTAACAAAGAGAAGATTAAGGGGGGTACCTGACCACAGTCTGGAAGTACCTACAAGGGGAACAAACACTTGATAATGGGCTCTTCAATCTAGCAGACAAAGATCCAGTGTCTGGAAGTTGAAGCTGGACAAATTCAGACTGGAAATAAGCCATGAATTTTTAACAGCGAGGGTAATTAACCACTGGAACAATTTGCTGAAGGTTGTGGCGGATTCTCCATTGCTAGAAAATTTTTCAATCAAAGTTGGCTGTTTTTTCTAAAAGATCCACTCTAGTTCAACCACCAGCCGACTCGAAGCAGGAATTAATTCCGGGAAGTCCTGATAGGCTATGCCGGAGGTCGGACTAGATGATCCTGATGGTCCCTTTTGGCCTATGCTCTCTGAATTGCATTGGGCCTCCGTCCGTCTCAGCTGGTCTCCAGCACCCCTAAGCTGCTGTGTAGTGATTGGGTGTGTGCAGTGAAGCAGCTGCCGTCGCGCACACAATCCCCAAAGCCTTTTGGGAGGAAAGGCTGTGGCTACGTCTACACTGCATTTGGGGGATGTGATTGCACTACATGTCGACATGCCTGAGCTAGCTTCAGTAATGACAGCAGTGAAGCTGCAGCAACATAGAATCATAGAACTGGAAGGGACCTCAAGAGGTCATCTAGTCCAGTCCCCTGCACTCAAGGCAGGACTCAGTATTATCTAGACCATCCTTGACAGGTGTTTGTCTAACCTGCTCTTAAAAATCTCCAATGACGGAGATTCCACAACCGCCCCAGGCAATTTATTCCAGTGCTTCACCACCCTGACAGTTAGGAAGTTTTTCCTAATGTCCAACCTAAACCTCCCTTGCTGCAATTTATGCTCATTGCTTCTTGTCCTGTCCTCAGAGGTTAAGAACAACAATTTTTCTCCCTCCTCCTTGTAACAACCTTTTATGTACTTGAAAACTGCTACCATGTCCCCCTTCAGTCTTCTCGTCTCCAGACTAAACAAACCCAATTTTTTTCAATCTTCCCTCATAGGTCATGTGTTCTAGACCTTTAATCATTTTTGTTGCTCTTCTCTGGACTTTCTCCAATTTGTCCACGTCTTTCCTGAAATGTGGCGCCCAGAACTGGACACAATACTCCAGTTGAAGCCCGCGTAGAGCGGAAGAATTACTTCTCGTGTCTTGCGTACAACACTCCTGCTAATATATCCCAGAATGATGTTTGCTTTTTTTGCAACAGTGCTACACTATTGACTCATATTTAGTTTGTGGTCCACTATGACCCCCCCCGATCCCTTTTCGCAGTACTCCTTCCTAGGCGGTCATTTCCCATTTTGTATGTATGCAACTGGGCAGGGGGCCCCTGGTGTATGTACCCAGGGTCCTGGCCGGGCAGCGCTAGATCAAAGCTAGCGTGGGTATGTCTAGCCGTGCTGTAGTCACACATCCTGATTGCAGTACAGACATATTCAGTGTGTATGAATTTGCTCCTACCTCTTGGTTTACTGTTCCACTGCACCCTACAGGCCTATTCCCTCCAACACAGCAAAGAGGATCGTCTGGCTTACCTCAACCACATCCTAGGTGGCGAGATCACCCTGCAGCTACTCTTCATCCTCTATGGGGTGCTGGCCCTGTCATTCCTGTCCGGTTATTACATCAGCACGGCCGCCCAGATCCTCTCGGTGATCCTGCCCCTGGTCATCCTGTTCATTGATGGGAACCTCGGCTACTGGCATGACTCCCGGCGCGTCGAGTTCTGGAACCAGATGAAACTCATCGGGCAGAACGTTGGTATCTTCGGGGCTGTCATCATCTTGGCCACGGATGGTTGAGATGGGACAAGTGGGGGCCGATAGGACAGGCCTGGGGGAGGGCTCTGCAGTTCGGGGGAGGGGATGGGAGTAGGTTTTTTTAAAATCACCATTATTTATTCTTTTTTTACTACTTTTAAAAAATTCCTAGTTGATTTTTCCCATTGACGGGCCAGGGGACTCAGTGGCTGCCTTTCTTGAGCATGTTAGTCCTTCATTGCACTTTGACAGGTGTTTTAAGCACAGCCTTATAGAGCCTCACTCTTCTGGCTCTGTGTAGCAGCAAAGGGGACATTGTAGAACAGCTGCCCACAGGGTCAGGCTAGCTCAGTGGGTGTGTGAGCAGCGTAATTCCTCTGCTGAAAGGAGGAGTGGATCCTGGAAGCTTGGGAGTCCCCCTGGGGAGCCAGATGATTGGTTACTGGAAAGACGCCAACAATGAACTGAATGGGGGACTTCAAAGCCACCGCTTCATCGTCTGTGGTGAACTCTGCACATTGGTTGCAGTGCGTGGGGACCATTGGGTGTGTGGGGACAACGGTAATAATAAGCTAGCTCTTATTTAGTGCTTTGCATCAGTAGATCTCAAAGCGCTTTACAAAGGTCAGTGTCATCACCCCCATTGTACAGATGGGGAAACCGAGGCACAGAGCGGGGACGTGACTTGCCCAAGCTCACCCAGCAGGCCAGTGTCCAAGCCAGAGTAACCGTCCTCCATTCGTTACTTAAGCTGGTTCTCACTGTGCTTCTAACTACTGCCTGTGGAATTTCATGGGGTTACAAAGAAACCCTGCTCCCCGAAAGGATGCAGTGCTGTGGAGAGGAGCGATTTCAAAGGGGAACAGCCCTCAATGCTCTTGAGAGGGAGAAAGAAGCTGCTTCGGAGATGAGAAGGGAATAATTTTGCCTCTTGCCCCGCTCCCGCTCTGTGTGCATCCGTCCATGCTGCCTCCCGTCCATCAATGGAGCATGCATATGAATCAGTTGTGCATTGGCTTGTCTCCTAGCACAGCCCGATGAAGGGAGCAGATGGACACTGCTTTACAACCGGACAATCCTGCCTGCCAAAGCCTGGAGGAATGAACAGTTATGTAGAGAGGGGAGCTGCTACCCGTCCCCCCAAGAGAGGTGGAATTTCCAGAGTGCTGGGGTGGAGTGACTGAGTGAGGAAGGGAAGCTTGAAAGGGGGGAAAAGTCCGGTTCCCAACCCTCTGAGGATCCCATGTCTTACAACCCTGGCCAGGGTTGTCAGAGTCAGGGACAGGTTGGGAGACTGTGCTCCATGTTATAAGGTGACATGCCTCCCAGAGACAACTTGCCTTTGCCCCATGAGGGCCTCCTGCCACCAGGTTTGGTTTGTCCTTTGCTGCGGGGCCAGCTGGCATGCAGGATCTCTCTCGCTCTAGTGCCCTGCCCGCCTAAGGAGAGCTCTCAAACACGGTCATCGTCTCAACTGCCTAGATCAAGCCGTCCACTTTGACCTGCTGTTGCGTCTTCCCTGTTTTCTAAACCACTTTCCCCATCATGTATTTCTGATGATTAAATGAGAAAAGGCTTTTAACTCCACCCCTTGAGTTTTATTTCTTACCGGAACATTGTTTGGCTTTAATCAAGCCAAGCCAAACCCCGCCTATGGTACTTCTCCGTCCTCGTTACTGTTATCTGAGCACCTCACAAGCTTTACTATGTTCATCCCACACACATCTCTCCCCCCCCGCCCCGAGCCATGTCTATTAACCCCATGTTACAGATGGGGAACTGAGACTCAGAGGCCCACAGTAATCCAGGGTGTCGGTGGCTGTGCAGGGAACAGACCCTGTGTCTTCCGAATCCAGGCTTGTGCCCTAACCACTGGGCCATCCTTCCTGTCTTCCCCCTAATCACAGGCACGTGAACAGAGGAAACTTCAGCTGCTTTTCCGCTCCAGAGCCAGGTCAGATCTTACTTAAGCCACCAACAGAGATGCTGGCAGGAGAGACGTATAAGCCAGAATTTTTTAACCTAAAGTTGGGCACCTAAATAAGCAGGCCGACTTTGAGAGGTGTCGGGCGTCATTGGAGTACCTAGTACCTCCCAGATACTTACGGATTTGTCCTCCACCACCCCTCTGAGGCACAGCAGTGTTGTTATCCCCATTGTACAGATGGGGAACTGAGGATGAACTGCCTTGCCCAAGGTCATGCAAGAAATCTGTGGCAGAGCTGGGAACAGAGCCAAGGTCTTGAGTCCTGCTGCCCAGTTCCTCTCCTACCTGAACAATGTCTCCCATCTTCTGCTTCATATGCACATCGCTTTTAGTTTGTGCCTAACCAGTTGAAGCTACGATACCTGTACATTTCCTCTCGGGCTTACTGGTGCCTAACTTTAGGTTAAAAAATTCTGGCTTATACGTGGGTAGTGCTGGCATTTTAAGAGTTCATTGCAGGTTCATGGCACTTAACCAGACAGGCTCTCCTTTAACCCTGCCATTGGTGATGCTAGTTCTTAAACAGATCATTTCAGACTTCCTGCTGCTTTACTGGCTGACTAGCAAGAGTTCACGGTAGATTCATGGCAAATATCTAGCAATTAGACGTTTAAATGTTTCACTGCCAGGGATGCTGGTGATGGACGATGAGTAGGTTTGTGATCAGGGTAAAATGTTCAAAAGTGCCCAGGGGACTTAGGAACCTGTCGTTTTCAAAAGTTGCTCGGGCGCCTAAGTCCCACTGCCAATAAGACTTAGATTTCTAAGTCACTTTTGAAAATGGGCCATAGGCTGCTAAGTCACTTAGGCCCAGATTTGGAAAAGTATTTAGGCATTGCCGTGCTCAGTGAAACCTAATTGATTTAGGAACCTACATCATTGTCAAAAGGGATTTAGGTGCCAAAATCCCATTGAGAGTCAGTAGGATTTAGGCTCTTAAAATGAGGTTTAGGTTCCTAAATCAGTTAGGTGTCGCAATGCCGAGTGCATCAACGCCTAAAGACTTTTACAAATGTGGGACTTTGTCCCTTCTGACAGTTTTACCCCGTTTACGTGCGGGGTTTTCAAAGGCACTAGCTGGAATTTCACTGGCGGTTTGGTGTCTGCGGCCCTTTGGCCGCTCTGAAGTTCCCAGCTGACATTTGTCGATCAGTTCTGATGCACAGCAGCCTTATGCACTGGTTAAGGAGAAAGCAGTAAGACCCTAACATCGCACTGTTGGGATAGCTAAAGAAAGGCGAGACACCTTGAAAAAGAAGCCAAAATCACATTAAAAGTTGACGCTTTCCAGCTGCCCTGGTCTGTTTTCTGCTGTACACGTATGTAGAACTCCACAGCCAGGCTGCTGGCTCCTATAAATACAAGCGTTGTGTGTGTGACTCCTACTTGCTGTTCCACAGGATTGTAAGGAAAGATGTCGCTGCTCTTTTTACACGCGCGTTAATGGAGGTCCCATTTTATAGGTCGGGAAAGTGAGGCACAGAGAGGGGAAGTGACTTTGCCGAGGTCCCACGGTGAGTCAGTGGCAGAGATGAGACTTGAACCCAAGAGTCCCGACCTCCTCGCTCTAACTTCTCTTGACAACAGTCCGCACAACACAGGCTTCGCTAGCACTTTATTAGGGAAAAGCTGGGTGCTGAATTGGTGAAGAGGGTTCTTTGTGCCAATCATTCCTCTGGGTGCAGGAAACACCCCTGGGGCTCTGTGCATGGCTGGCCGTGCTGACCTCTGGTTCTTCTTATCCGGTCTTGATGTACGAAGGCCTGACTCCTCCCAAGCCCAACCTGCTCCGCTCTCACTCTGCCCTAGAAAGATCGTCCTATGGTTTGCAGAACGAGTCTGGAATGGATATTGCGTGGTTCACCAGCTCGTAGGAATCCCGGATGTCGGACAGGCCAAACCAGAAGAAGATCCATTGGTGGTTGGTGAAGCTTCCATCACTGTGCTTGAAATACCTGACGGGAACAAAACGAATGCTTAGTCCCAGAGCAGGATCTGCATCCCATAGAGCAACAAGAGCGTCCGTGGATACAATTACAGGGATAATACTGGGTCAGACTTGCCACCCACTGTATCTAAGGCTAGGTCTACACTACCCGCCTGAATCGGCGGGTAGAAATCGATCTCTTGGGGATTGAATTATCACGTCTCGTCGGGACACGACAATCGATCCCTGAATCGACGCTCTTACTCCACCAGCGGAGGTGGGAGTAAGCGCCGTCGACAGGGAGCCGCGGAGGTCGATTTTGCCGCCGTCCTCACAGCAGGGTAAGTCGGCTCCGATACGTCAAATTCAGCTACGCTATTCGCGTAGCTGAATTTGCGTATCTTAAATGGACCCCCCCCCGTAGTGAAGACCTGCCCTAAGAGTATCTGAGTCCCTCCTAGACATCAGTGATTGTATCCTTGCAGCACCTTTGTAAGTAGCATAGTAGTGGTAATTCTGTTTTACTGATGGGGAGGTCCAGAGTGAGTGGGAGGGGGTTACAGGTCAGGGTTAAGGGGCATTGGCAGGGTGGCGTGGGAAACCTAGGCCTGGTATAGTAAGGGGTGCTGTGGATCAGAGTACAGATGCACCAGCAGAGCGGTGGAGGGGCCCAGCCCTGGTGTAGCAGGGGTGTTGCAGTCAGGATTGAGATGCACTGCCAGAGCTGGGTGTGTATGGGGAGCAGAGCCGCAGGTAAGGGTAAGAGGCATTGGCAGAGCTGTGTGTGGGGAGCCCAGGGCTGGAATAGCAGG